TGCCCATGTGCCAATCATAGGAAAGTCATGACTGTCCCTTTCTTGCCAATCTGCCAGGGCTCCAGGGGGGAAAAGCGGATAATTATCCTTCAAGAGAAAAAAAGAAAAAGAAAAAAAAAATGTTATCAGCTCCTTGGCTAATGCCTTATATTCCAACGCCTAGCTGGGCACTCCTACCATAGGCTCCCAGACCAGCCTGCCTTAACCTAGCAGGCATTTTGTATGCCTACCCCATCCCATTAATGATCTCCCACTGTGGGCCAGCCAGGGGCAGGATGGTGGCTGCCCCAGACAACACAGCAGCCTCTATGGTCACTGTATGCTCTGTGGACTCAGAGGGGCAGCCCTCCCACTTCCAAACTGCAGGTTCCCTGGGGGCATGTGCAGTGTCCCAGCCACCTTTGTTTTCTCAAAGCCTAGCTCAAAACCAGGCACAAGGTGACCGCCCCCCCCACCACTGATGTCTATGGAATGAACAAACATGCCCCTTTCACAGAAGTGATGGGAAGTCCCTGGTGAAGAGCAAGATACTTGGGGTAACCTGAAGGGTAGTAGGCGAAGGGTTGGTGTGACAGGTTTAGTTTCCCCATCTGTAAACCTCACAGGGATGGCATGTCTGCACAAAGTGGTGTGAACAGAGGGACAGAGCTTGCATGGATCAAATGGGATGATGCACATAAGGTATCTAGAGATAACCTGGCACGCGGTAAGTATTCACATGTTACATATTGTTCTTACAATTATTATCTCACCCCAACTTGAGGACCAGGTCTGAGCACTCCCAGGAATAACCATTCCTCACCAGTCTTCCTGGGCCAACAAAGGATCCATTCTAGAAGGTTCTTTCAAGCTGCTCATGCTCTTAGTTCCTCATAGGCATGGGCTTGGCTCAGGAATATTTTTCACCCAGAAAAAAACTAACTCTGACACCGAATCCCAGGTTGGGGGGCTGTTCAGGCTGGGCACTCCTGATGATCATTTGGGTGATCATTTAATACATTCCCCTCTGTTCACAGAAGAGAAGCGTACAAACCAGAGATGGTTCATTTCCAGGTTTGCCAGGCATCCCCCAGCTGTTCTGGACCCAGAACTCAGGTCTCCAGACATCCAAGCCAATGTTCTTTCCACTACTTCCTGAGCCTCCTGGGAGGCTGGGAGCTACCCGGGACCTAGTTGGCTACAGTCCCAAAGGTCACACAGCCTCAGGACATACCCAGAATTCCTCCCAACCAGCCTGGATAAGTTGTCCTAGAAAATTATTCTTGATTGTCTAAGATGTGAAGACTAAAGGCGGATGATAAATGGCCATAGCTTTGTCAGGTTAATAACGTTCTACCCTACCCAGTGCCAAGGCAGATACAGTGCACGGCCATCCCACAGGACTCTGGCAATTCCCCCAGGGAGCTGTTAAAGTAGTGCCTTCCCACAGCACAGATGTTAACAGGTTTGCAAGGCCGCGCCTTGCCCAAGTGTCAAGAGGACCATAGCAGAGTCAGGGAGTCATTCAATTCCGCTACCATTCTGAGGGTTGGACCCACCATCCGAGGGCCCAGGGCACTAGGCCTATCTGAGCAGGGCAAGGAATGCATTTTTCTCCCAACCTTAGAAGGAGCTCTGGTATGGGATCACTGCCCCCACCCCCTCCCTGCCCCCACGCACCGATCCTGGCCCAGGTTCAGCTCCTTGGTGAGAAACTCGAAGAATCGGGCGCTGTGGCCACGGTTGTCCTCGGCTGTGCCTACCACACCGATGGAGGAGATGAGGAGTTGCGCGCAGGGCTCCGTGGAGCCGTTCACCGCCATGGCCAGACCTGGTCGCACCGTTACGTTCACGCGCTGCGGGGAACACGAAAGTTTCACCTGAAGCCGGTGCAGGCCGAGTTCGCGCTGAGGACCCGGGAGGACGAGGGCCGACAAGCGCCGGCCCCTGGGGTCAGGGCTAGAGGCTCAGGACGGGGTCCTTGGCGGTCACGTCGGTGTCAGGGCCAAGGAAGGAAGCACGGAGCAGACATGAGGGGTGGGGAGAGTGGGAGGCCAGGGCCTGGCGGGCGGGGACCCCTGCGACGAAGAGCCCGGGTCGCGGTGCGGACGCCAGGGCGCGGACAGAGCCCGACCCCCGGCGGGGTGCTCCCCGGCCCACGCTCACGTCCTCAGGTTTGCTCAGGATGGCTGCAGTGGCCGCGCAGAGCCGCTTCTCCAGTCCTGCGGGCACACGGCCGGCGGGCAAGTTCGTGTCCAGCTCGACGAACGGCATGTCTGGCCAGAAGGAACCGCAGGGCCACAGCAGCAGAGAAAGAACGCACCGGGTGCGGGTCGCTGTTCCCAAGGGTCGCGGACTAGGCAGCAGGGGCGGGGCGCCACGGAAACCAGGCTCCTTATTGGCTGGGCAGGGAACAGCGCCCCCGGATTGGCTGCATAGTCTACACCACCCCTCCTCTGCGGGCGCTGATTTCCGGAAGTCCTAAGGCCGGACGGGGAGAGGGGGAAGAGTGAGGTGTATGACTGTCTCCCAAGCCGACTGGCTGGGCCACGGCCCGGCCCACAGTGTCCCGGCCTCTACCGGCTCCCGACACGCCGGCCGGGGGTTTTCTGGCTTCCTGGGCTGCTGGGTGGTGCAGTCCTCTGCTTCCTAGCCCATATTTAGATTGTTAACCCTGAAAATAAAATAGCCAGTTATTTTACCAGTAAAAATTGGGTTCTTCGAGGATAGCAGAGAATTGCAATTTGGGACACGCAGCCTAAGACAAAACCACAGCCAAGTCCAACCAACAAAGAAGAGAAACGTTTTTTAACGGAGGAGGAGGAGTTGGGACTGTTACAAACAAAAAGTCCGCGGGAATAAGCTGAAAGAGTGTGGTCGCGTTTCAGTGGCTGAGTTGTGACAGTATCGCACTGGCTGGACGGGGCAGGGGGGTTGGGGGTATCTTTCTTTCCTCTGCTGGTAGTATATAGTCTTCTTTCCCTTGGGAATGCAAGGTAGGGTTCTTCCTGTTGGGGTTGCAAAGAGCTGCAAGGAGTAGTAGGTGTGAGAGTTCCCCCTTCTGGCCTCCCGACTTTATTGTAAATGAGGTTTTCTTTATTCCGTTTCACAAAATGGGGGTTTGAACACACCCAAAACATACACACCTGTAGGGGCCTTTCCCGGGCTCCATCCTAAATAATATTGTTGTTTTTTTTTACTGTGTTGCTACCATTTCCAAGTAAGGTGACTTCTCGTTATATGTAGGGATCTACACTTCTCTTTTTTTTTAGATTTTATTTATTTATTTGAGAGAGAGAGAATGAGAGATAGAGAGCACGAGAGGGAAGAGGGTCAGAGGGAGAAGCAGACTCCCTGCTGAGCAGGGAGCCGGATGTGGGACTCGATCCCGGGACTCCAGGATCATGACCTGAGCCAAAGGCAGTCGCTTAACCAACTGAGCCACCCAGGCACCCAGGAATCTACGCTTCTCTTGACCAGGAGCCAGGTGACACTTGTGAGTTCAGGTGGGGCTGGGCAGAGAACCTCTGGCTCACTGCATCCCTACCTGGCCCTGAAAGACATCTGCCTTTGTGGCCTCTTGCAACTGCGGCAACCTTGTCTCATAGTGAAGTACTGTCCATCAAGGGATGAAAGTCAGATCCTAGTCGAATTACCAGCCATGTTTACAGTACCCTATATTTTTATGGTCAAAACAAAATGTGTCACTCAAAACATGGAAATCTGGGGGTAGCTGGATGGCTCAGTCAGTTAAGTGTCTGCCTTTGGCTCAGGTCATGATCCCAGGGTCCTGGGATCTAGCCTGGTATCAGGCTTCCTTAGGGAGTCTGCTTCTCCCTCTGCCTCTGCCTCTGCCTCTGCCCTTCCCCCCCCCCCCCCCCCCCCCCCCTTGTGAGCTCTCTCTCTCTCTCTCTCTCTCTCTCTCTCGGAAATAAATATTTTTTAAAAACATGGAAATCCTGTTGATATGGCTAAACATGGCACTCTCATCAGTGTTGCAAACTTGTTTGACTTGTAAATGAAAATGCAACTGAAATTCTGTGGGTGTATATGAATAATTTCAATTACACTTCTAAAGTCCTATATGAGTGTGCACATTAGAGGAGCCTTGGGGCGCCTGGCTGGCTCAGCCGGGACAGCATGCGACTCTTGATCTCAGGGTTGCAGGTTCAAGCCCCATGTTGGGTGTAGAGATCACTTAAAAATAAAATCTTAAAAGAGAAGGCAGGCAGTCTGAGAGGCTCTCTGTTCATGACCCTGTCCCATTAGCAGTTTATTGGATGACTAAGATATCAGAGGATCTAGGACACAAGACAGGTAGATTCTAACAGTCTTGAGGAGAAAGGACGGGGACAGGTGGCAAGTCTGGGACCCAGGATGGGGCACAGATAAGACAGTGGCCAGGTTCTGAGTAGGCTTGGGAGAGCAAGGCCTCTCAGTGATGGGGTTTTGGAATATAGGTGAGGTTCAGTGGGGTGGTGTCGGGAGCACGCAACTAAGAAAGAATTCTTGAGAGGTCTTTGGTGCAAAATGATGGTTTATCAAAGCACGGGGACAGGCCCCATTGGGCAAAGAGCTGCAACACTGGGGTTGTTAGGGGTGGCTGATTATATACCATGGGGTTGGGGGAGGTCAGGAAAAAGGTTTCAAGAGAACTTTCATATGCTAAGGAGGACCTACAAGATAGCGGAGGCCTTGCCATTGTCAAGTTAAGGTTGTTTTTCCCCTCTAGCAAGGCATTAACATTAAGACAGTTGGGAACTTTCTGGAGGAACATTACATTCTGCCCACTTCAAGTACCTGTCGATGGGCTGCAGGTTATAAGGATATTCAATTGTATTTGCATTCCCTTCCGGAAGCTATTGCTGAGGCTTTTGTAAGTAAACTGAGGGAGACTCGGGTCTTGCAAGATTGTGGTCTCCAGTTAACTATTTGTTTTTCCTTTTGGGCATTCAGGAGTGCCTGAGGAATGTCACATATATCCCATGGGGGGCGGGGATATGGGGTGTCAGCTTCTGCTTTGTCCTCAGCTTGCCTTCTGTTCCCTCAGCAGCAGCAGCACCCAGAGTGCCAGGAACTAACATGGGACTTCCCTCCCTGCAAGGAGCTTCAGAAACCAGCCCTGCACCCAACCCACCTGTGGGAGACAGCATCACCCCAGAGGGAGGACAGAGACCTAAGAGAACAAGGCCATGCCTGATTCAGACATCTCTTCACCAGCGTGACCCCCATCTATGACATGTGCTCAGTTGAGGGGGTGTTGAACCAGCTTTGTTCCAGGGTTGAGGGGAGGGAGGCACTGGGGCTAAGGAGTCTGGGGGGTGGGGGGGGTGTCACCTGACTTGGCCTGGAGCTGAGGAAGTCAGGGAAGCCTCCCTGGAGAAGTGAATGGTGACAAATGCCTAAAGACCAGAAGGGGCACCGGGCAAAGGTGAAGACAGGCCCTATTAGCAATGAAAACAGCCTAAGCCAAGGCCAGGAGGTAGAGGTGGGAGCTGGGAGAAGGGGTCTAAAAATGATGGGCTACCGTGTGCAACTAGAAGGGAGTGCCCTGGAGGGGTGGGCAAGGCCTTGAATGCAAAGTTCAGTGATTCATACTTTAGCCCCAGAGCAGTTCAGCACCATGGAAAGTTTCAAACACAGGAGAGCCGGGGTCAAATATGTGTTTACTAAGCTCTTTCCAGGGGTGACACGAAGTCAGAGTGGAAGGGGCGGGAGTGGAGTGTGGAAACAGACGGAAGAAGGAACGAAGACCTGATGCTTGGAGGGAACCAGGGACCAGAGACTGGAGAGTGTGTCTTGCTCACAGCCTGGGAGGGACAACTCCACCTCTTCATTCTAACAACAGGGTCTCCATCATCTCTGCAAGCCTGGCCTTCCACTCACTGCAATAAACACTGCACGGAGGGCTTCAGCTTCTCCTTTATGGCCGGGTCAGCTGGAGGCAAATCCTCGACCTTCATGACAGCTGCATGTGCCTCCTGAAAGAGATCCTTCCCCACCTCGGCCTCCACACGTTGGCGCCATGCAGCCAGCTTGGGTCGGCTTTTGAAGACTTGGCAGCCAGCACTGACAGGCTATGGGGAGAGGAAGCCAAGTGGAGGGGGTAGGCATGGTCAAGCACAAGCCAGGATGACCTGGTTGAGTAATTCCCCAGGATGGATTTTCCTTCCTTGGCCACAACATGTAATAAGCTGGATGTTCTCTGGGAGACACTGGGAAGCTTCTCAGTATTGCTGCAGGATAGGGTCTGAAGCCCCATTTTACAGATGAGAACACTGAGGCTCAGAGAGGGGAGTGACTTGCCCAGGGTCCCACAACCAGGAAGGGCAGCATTGGCTCCCTCCCAGGACACCCCACTGCCCAGTGGACCACCCCATGGCACTCACATGCATCAGCTCTGTGATGGCCACCAAGTCAGCCACTGAGATGTGAGGTCCAGCAACGAAGTCCTGGTCCTTTAGGAACTTGTCCTCAAGCAGCTGTAGGCACCTGTCCAGCTCAGCCAAGGTAGATGCCAATGTCTCAGGGGGCACCTGTTCACCCAGGAACACTGGGAACATCATCTGCTGGATGGGCAGGCAGAGAGAGGGCTTAGGGTCTGCTCAAAGCCTAGCCTAGTTCCTGCTCTCATCCAATCTACCACCAGGCCTTCAAATTTCTCCTCACTCTGACCCACTCCTTCCACCCACGGCCAACACCAGCCCAGGCGTCATCTTCTACTCCAACATGGACAGCCTCCACTCTCCCTAGGTCCTCATGCAAGGCAGCCAGTGGGGGGAACTTCTGGAATCCCAGTCTGCCCATAACACCCCCTGCATAAAGCCTTCCATGGCTCTCCACTACCCTCACCATGAAGGCCTCAACCCAAGGCCCCTCCTCAGTGCAGCAGTCACCCTCTCCCCCCCCCCCCCCTCCTCCTCCACCCCAGACTTCTCAAATGGGATGATGCATGTGAATCCCTCTGGGATCTGGTTAAAGTGCACATTCCTCCTAATCTGAATGCCCGGGTGGTGCCTGAGACTCTGCATTTCTTTCTTTCTTTTTTTTTTGAGATTTTATTTATTTGAGAGAGAGAGAGACAGAGCAAGAGAGGGAACACAAGCAGGGGGAGTGGGAGAGGGAGAAGCTGGCTTCCTGCGGAGCAGGGAGCCCGATGCAGGGCTTGATCCCAGGACCCTGGGATCATGACCCAAGCCAAAGGCAGACGCTTAACAACTGAGCCACTCAGGTGCCCCAAGACTCTGCATTTCTAAGTTCCCAGGTGGGGGGCGCCTGGGTGGCTCAGTTGGTTAAGCAACTGCCTTCGGCTCAGGTCATGATCCTGGAGTCCCGGGATCGAGTCCCGCATCGGGCTCCCCGCTCAGCGGGGAGTCTGCTTCTCCCTCTGACCCTCCACCCTCTCATGCTCTCTATCATTCTCTCTCTCTCTCTCAATAAATAAATTAAAAAAAAAAATCTTTAAAAAAAAAAAAAAATAAGTTCCCAGGTGGTCTGATTCTCCTGGTCCCTGGACCACAGTTTGAGTACCTAAGGTCTATACTCACTCTGTTTGACTTCTCTCCATTCTGCCTTCAAACCCACCAGGTTCCTGCTCCTACCAGCTTGAAGGGGTTCCTCTTCTAGCCCCGAGAGGCTTGAGGAAGACACTTCTAAGGTTATAGAAACCTGCACTTTGCTCAAGGGCCCTTCAGAACAGTGGTACTCTATCTGCAGCAGAGTATGAGCATACCCTTCTCATGCTCCCTCCCATGAACAGGGCACCCACTGTGTGCCAAGCCCTTTGTAAGTACCTTACAAATAACAATTCAGAGCACACATCTCAAAAACATCCGTACATTTGATGGGTAAAAATGGTATGGGTGTGCTGTTTTAGTGTGCATTTACTTGATTCTTACTTAGGTTAAATGTATTTTCATCCACTTAATGACCATTTCTCTCTGTTCTTCAAGTAAATCTCCACTGGTTTCCTGTGCCCATTTTTCTCCTGTGCCTTTGTTTGAGGGCTTTCTGAGAGCATCTTAAATACTAAGAATGTTACTTCTTTCAGGGGCAGCTGGATGGCTCAGTTAAGCATCCAACTCTTGATTTGGGCTCAGGTGATGATCTCAGGGTGGTAAGATGGAGCCCAGTCGGTCAGGCTCCACGCTCAGTAGGGAGTCTACATGAGATTCTCTCCCACTGCCCCTCCCTGCACCCAGTTCATGGGTGGGTGCGTGTGCATGCTCATGCGTGCTCTCTCTCTCTCTCTCTCTCAAATAAATGAATCTTTAAAAAAAAATGTTATTCTTTTTTTTTTTTAAAGATTTTATTTATTTATTTGAGAGAGAGAGCACACAGAGGGATGGGAAGAGGGAGAAGCAGACTCCCCGCTAAGTAGAGAGCCCAGTGCAGGGCTCGATCCCAGGACCCTGAGATCATGACCTGAGCCAAAGGCAGATGCCTAACTGACTGAGCCACCCAGGTACCCCTTTCTTTTTTTTTTTTTTTTAAGATTTTATTTATTTATTTTAGAGAGAGCAAAAGCAGGGGGAGGAGTAGAGGGAGAGGGAGAAGCAGACTCCATGCTCAGTGCAAAGCCTGACCCAGGGCTTGATCCCAAGACCCTGAGATCATGACCTAAGCTGAAATCAAGAGTCTGATGCTTAACTAACTGAGCCACCCAGGCGCGCAAAATTTACTTCTAACAAATCTTTGCCAGTTTTTTGCTTGTTTTAAGTTTAATCCTTTCCTCCTTACACAAAATGTCATTGTATGTGTAAAATCTATTAGGCTTTTCTTTAAGTCTTTCAGTGTTTTTAGGCTTAGAAATCCTTGAATACCCAGAAATCAGATCAACTTTATTGAAATGATGCCTCATTTCTTCCTAGTTTGAGATTTTTCTGATTCCCAGCAGCTCAGGAATCAGGGCACACTGGGGGAAGTCACTCCCTGGCTCTGCCCTGGCTTCCCCTCTGGGAAACAAGTTGGTTGGACTAGAGTCTCTGGCATTCTAGAATTTGGTGTTCTAAGGCCTCAGGTCTGAGCGGAATTTTTTTTTTCAAGATTTTATTTATTTATTTGAGATAGAGAAAGTGAGCGAGAGAGTGAGAGAGCACAAGCGGGGGGAGTGGCAGGCAGAGGCAGAGAGAGAAGCAGACTCCCCGCGGAGCAGGGAGCCCGACATGGGCCTCAATCCCAGGACTCCGGGATCAGGACCTGAGCCGAAGGCAGACGCTTAACCGGATGAGCCACCCAGGCGCCTGAACAGAATTTTTTAAACCGGAAGCACTGTCCCTTGAGCATCCTCGAAGGGTCCCCGTCCTGCCATAGCTCACCTTCTGCCACATGGCTCGAGTGCAGCTACTCCGCAGGGCTGTGTGCTGCCAGGCTAGGTACTCGTCCACACGGGCACGGGCCTGCAGGTCCTGGGGGTACCAGTGGTCGGGGACCTCATACTTGCGACTCAGATACAACAGGATGGCCACACTGGGGGACACGGAGGGGGTGAGGAACATGTACTAGTCACTTTTCAGCCACTCCACAGGGGCTAGGCCCCAGGTGGGGGCTGGCCCCCACTACTCACATTTCCCCAACTCCTATGGGTGGAGCATTACACTATCTCTGCACCATGATGCAGAGTAGGAATGTGAGGCTCAGAGAGGTTAGGGGACTGCCTAGGGTCACACAGCTCTACACTGGGTCATCCTATCATCTGAACTAAGGGCACCGAGTGAAAAACAAAATGTCTTGGGATTTCAGAAGGAGGGTGATGGGTACTCAGAGAAAGCTTCCAGGAGGAAGGGGGGCCCAACATGGTTCCTGAAAGACAACAGCAACTCAGCACTCCCCACCATATCCCGTGCATGGTCACGACAGGAGCAAGGCCAGCTGTCCCTTCACACTCCCTGGGGCTGGGACAAAGCCTCCCAGGTGATGGGTCACTGCTTCCCACCCTGTCCCACTCTCCTCTCTACCTGCCCAAAGCCTCCAGCCTCCTCCCCCAGGAAGCCCTCTCTGACCTCCTCCCCTCCCCTCTCCCTCCACCATGTCTGGCCTGTGCATCATGTCTGGCCAGAGCACCATGCCTGCATGGATGTTGGACTGTCCAACGACCAGAGGTTCTGAAGCCAAATGGAACGTGAATCTGGCTCTACCGCAGAGGTACTATGTGCCCTCAGTAAAGGATATCACTATTCAGTCACCAACCTGGAGGCTGGCCTGGGTTCTCATCTCTCCCACCTACCTCCATCTCTTCAGCACACTCTTGGGCTTGACCTTCAAGGGCAGTCAGAACTGACCACGACGTCCCCCCGTACCACCACCTTGATCTGAGGTCCCAGCACCTCTCTCCTGGATTAGCATAGTGCCTTCTCACCCCAGCCAGAGGGATCTTTTAAAACCTAAGTTGGATCTTAGCTCTCCTCTGCTTAAACTCCTGCAATGGCCCCATCTTACCTACAGTAAAAGCCAAAGTCTTCCTGGCCCCACATGCTCCCCTCCGACCTCATCCCCTGCTTACTGCCCCTCCCTCACCCCAGCCATGCTGGATGTCTTGCCTCTTCAACCTGTCCCCCAGGCATTGTCCCACTTCATAGCCTTTGGCTTTGCTGTTCCCTCCAGCCAGAACACTCTTCCCAAATACCTTGCTCCTCTGCTCCTGTAAGTCTCTGCACAGATGCCTCCTCCTCAAGGGGCCCTTCACTCAACATCCTACTCAAAATTGCACAGCCCCCCACTCTTAACCTATTTATTTTCTCCATGGGTTACACCTTACAGAGATTAGCAGTCCTCCCTTCTAGAATATGAGCTCCAGGAGGCCAAGGGCTTAGAATTGTTCATTGCTTTGGCACCACAGCAATGGTTCTTGGCCCTGGTGGGTGCTCAGCAAGTAGCCACTGAAGCTCTCTGGGTGCTCTCTTGACTCCCAGGGCAATAGTACTTGCCCCCAAAATTTCTAGAAGTGGTAGGGTACAGCTACTCCTCAAAATTTAGCTCTCTGCTCTCCTTCCATCTGGGGGCTGGGTTGGCAGAGAGGAGGCCTGGAAAGAGGCTGGGCCCTGTGACATTGGGCAAGCCCCTCCTCTCTGGGCTTCAGTTTCCTCCTTTATACTATGGGCTGGAGGGGCGGGAGGGGCTGGAGGGGGGGATGCCATGACTTCAATAGCTCCTCCTAGCCCCAGGCTCCTCTGCCTGGTGGGGCTACCACAGGTGCTCAGGGCACACAAGCCGTGATCCAAGCCATCAGCAGTAGATACATGGATGGCTGACTGGTCTCACAAGGCCTGGGTAGCAGCCTGGGGACCTGATACCTCTCAGCCAAAGTGAAGTCCCCGTCCTTCAAGGCTGGCACCTTCTTCAGGGGATTCACCTGGGCAAAAGCATCACTGTGCTGCTGGCCTGTGGGAGAGAGCAGTGAGGCTGGTGAGGAGAACTCTGAGCCCCCCCCCCCCCGCCGAGAACTCTCCCCACCGCCACCCCAACATCCAGGCCCCAACTTTCTGAGGCCCCTATCCAGGTGGGCAACAGGAAAGAGACCACTCTACAGGCCACCAGATCACGGACCCTGACACCACCAGAGGCCGACCCTTCCTGCGTCCAGCCCCACTGGGAACCCGGGCCAAGCAGCATCTCAGCTTGGCCATGAAGGGAGGGTGAGTCCCTGAAGCTGCAAGTCACCCCCCACCCCCAGTCCCAGCCAATTCATCCATATGTCAGACACTCCAGTCTCCTCCTTGGGCTCTAGGCTTGCCCCTGAAATCCATCTTCCTAAGCTGGCCGGGTGCCCTGTCCATACCACACCTGCCCCCAGCCCTCAGTCCAGCCTCATTCTCTCCAGGAGCTCCCGCCCTCTTCAGTCACCCAGGCTCCAGCAGCTCAGCTCTTCTTTCTGTCCGGTGCCAAACTCTCAAAACTCCTTCCCCAATGGGGGTTCGCAGGTCTGTACACTTCTGCATTCCTTGAGCTGGGCCAGTGCTGGAGGGTACAATTACTGTGTGCGGAATCACACAGCCTCTGTGGAACCAGGCCCTGGCTGGCCATAGGCCCACCTGTGGTTCTCTTTGCCCTTCTCCTGGGTGAAGAGAATCAGCCCTACCCATTCTCCCTCCAGAAAATGCCTCTGTGCCCAGGCCCCAACCCAAGAAGGGCTGGAAAGGTGGAGCAAGGTGGCGGCATAGCACTTGGTGGCCCAAGCTGGGGGCACCAAAGACAGAAGGTGGGCAGGCTCAGACAAGAAGAGATCTCCCCCCTGGCCTGCCCAAGGGTAGGCCTGCTGTCCCAACTGTCCTGCGGTCCAATTACAGCCCTGCCCCTCCACTGGATCCTGTAAATGTGGAGGCGAGGTAGGTAGGCCTAGGTAGAAGTAAAGAGACCATTTCCAGGTGGAACCACCTTCTTCTGCAGGCAGCTGCAGACATTCAAGAGATGCAGGCTACTCCAATTCAGAAATGAGGAGGCAGTTTCATTGTTTTCTCCAAGCCCGGGGGCGGGGAGGTATTGGGGCATTCACTCCACTTCCCCACACCCCCCCTTCCCGCCCCCCAACCCACGCCCCCCACTGCTCCCTCTCTCAGCTCTGCTCCCTCTCAACCTGTATTTCTTTTTAAAGATTTTATTTATTTATTTGACAGAGAGAGACAGCGAGAGAGGGAACACAAGCAGGGGGCGTGGGAGAGGGAGAAGCAGGCTTACCGCGGAGCAGGGGGCCCAGCGCGGGGCTCGATCCCAGGACCCCGGTTCACGACCTGAGCCAAAGGCAGACGCTTAAGACTGAGCCTCCCAGGTGCCCCTCAACCTGTATTTTGAAAAACGTTTCGTATTCACTAGGCAAAGATCGGGGCTCTTGAAAAAGACACAACCGATAACCGATTACACAGTTTCCGTACTGGAGGGTGTCATCTCCAGTCGGTCCGCTGCGCCAGCGGGAGGGGGTCCGTCAGCACACAGGCGACCCCGACCGCAGGGCCTGCCTCCCTGCCAGGCCAACCTTTGAGCAGCTCCACCGAGCGCAGCTCGAAGGGGATGCCGTTCTTCTTGGCGAAGATGTAGACGGCGCGGGAGGGCTGGGACAGCAGGTCCAGGTAGAGCTCTAAGCCCATGGCGGAAGCAGCGGACCACCCCCGGGGCCGCGCCCAGGGTATAAGACCGGGAACAGAAACGGCCAGGCCACCGAGCCTATGAGCGCAATCCGGGGGAGAGGGGTTGGGGTGGGGGGTGGGGGGCGTCTGAGCCCCGCCACACCCTCCCCGCCCACTGGATGGCTCTAGAGAACTTTGGGCCAATCAGCGGCGCCCCAGCTCTTCCTCCCTCCCTTCCCTGGAATCGGAGCTGCAGTTCTCTTGGAGAGGGCGCTGGGAGACTTGGCCTCTGACCTGAGATTTCGTTGCCAGGTCACACCCCTTTCCCGAACCTCAATGTTTACCTTTGTCAAATGGTGCAGTGGAGGATGGTAATGGGAACGGGACGCCAAGGACGCTTCCAGCACAGACCCTCAGTGAAATTAGGATCGAAAGGGCTCAGCTGCCTTCGGTTGGCCCAAGCTACCTCCCCAGACTCAAGGAGGGGACTGAGAGAGAAGGGGCTTCTAAGTCCCCAGGAACACAAAAGGAGGCAGAGAACGGAGGTACAGTAGCCTCCCCTGCGCCCAGTGCCCAGGATGGAGGCTGCGGAGGTTTCTGGACCCCAGCTCCTTACAGACCCCTGGCCCAAACTCCAGGTAAAGAATGAGCCACCCCTCCCTAATCCCTGGGGTCATATTCATTACAACCCAGCTAATCCTTCTAGCAAAAGGCAGAAGCCAGTGGGGCCCATCCAGAGGTTTGCAGGGGGGCCTGAAACTTCCTCACTTCCTTTGCAGAGCCAAGTCCCTCCAACTGACACCATCTGGCCCCTGAGGTCAGTGGCTATGAACCCCCATTCCCTAAGAGAGGCTCTTGGGGTAAGAAAACCCAGCCCCCAAAGCCAAGATTCACAGAAAACCCCTTGGCAAGAGGATGTTATTGGAAAATTTAAGTAAGATTTAAGTAAGACCTATCCCCCCAGGAGACTGCCTTCCTGTGCTAGTGCTGGAGCCCTATCCAGGCTGGGAGGGGCCATGTTCTCCAATCCCTTCATTGCCCTGCCCTCCTGCACAAATCACTTTGGCAGGATCACTATAATATCCAATTTCCCTGCTTCCTCTTTGGCCACCCTCAAGTGCAAGCCCTCTCACCCCCTGGGGAGGCAGAATATTATTTTAAAATACAATGTGGTGGGGTGTCTGGCTGGCTCAGTCACTAGAGCAAGCAACCCTTAATCTCAGGGTCATGAGTTCAAGCCCCACAGTGGGTGTAGAGCTTACTTAAAATAAAATATAAAAAGGGGCGCCTGGGTGGCTCGGATGGTTAAGCGTCTGCCTTCGGCTCAGGTCATGATCCCAGGGTCCTGGGATCGAGCCCCGCATCGGGCTCCTTGCTCAGTGGGGAGCCTGCTTCTCCCTCTCCTTCTACTGCTCCCCCTGCTTGTGCTCTCTCACTCTGTCAAATAAATAAATAAAATCTTAAAAAATATATATATATAAAGAAAGAAAGAAATGCAGTCTGAGCACACTATGCCTATTTAGGGTTTATAGATCATAGGCATGGCCTTTAAGGCCCTGCATGACTGATTCCTGACCAGGAGAGCTGCTGTTTAGATTTGCCCTGCCTGATCAGTTCAGCAGAACAGAGGCAGGACTCATGAGCTACGGGACTTGATGCCAAAGGGCCATGTCCTAGGAGGTTGGCCCAGCCAACTGATTGATCACCATGCCTATAGTCACCATATAGGGGATGCCTGCTGATTCTTATGGTGTCTGATACATCACTTTCTCCAAGAATTAGAAGAGTAGAGGGCATTTGTTAATTTCACTCTTGGCAACCGTCATGGATGGGGAAGCTGACCCATAGAGCCTCAGAAGGGGGGTTGTCTTTCGGGTAGAGACCAAGACCAGGGCCAAGACAGAAGGTCAAATAAATCACACCTCCGAGTTAGAAGCGTAGGCTCAGGCTTAGCCCAGGTTTATTTCCCAAACTGAAAACAAGATGCAGTGATTAAAGGAGATAAGATCTGGCTATTCCGTTCTCATTGTGGCTTTTAGGCAGCTGTGCAAGATGGTTCGGGTGCAGGGACCTGACCTGGGGAGCACAGGTGCAGTGGGACTGAACAAGCAAATCACTACTGCCCTCTGAGCCTGCCTCCCATGGGACAGTGGAAATGAAGGTGCTTTCTGAACTGCCACGGTCAAGCACAGGGACTTGGGCTTCCCGGCTCACTGAATCATGGCCAGCACCAGAGGCATCAGCTTCTGCTTTATGGTGGGGTCTGCAGGTGGAGAGTCCTTGGCCTTCAGGATGACCTCATGGGCCTCCCGGAAGAGATCCTCCCCCACTGCTGCCTCCACACGCTGGCGCCATGCAGCCAGCCTGGGTCGACCTTCAAAGACTTGGCAGCCAGCACCCACAGGCTGCAGGGAGAAAGAGAACAGGATGAGGGTGGATGGGTAAGGTCAAGGGTGGCCGCATCTGCCTGGTGCGGGGGCCCCAGAGCTCCAGAAGAGGCTTCCGCACATAAGCCTGGCACATGGCCAGGTGGGGGGGGGGCAACATAAGCCCAGGGCCCTCCCTGCCTGGCAGGCCACCCTATCCATAACACTCACATGCATCAGCTCTGTGATGGCTACCAGATCAGCCAGCGAGATGTGGGGCCCGGTGAGAAAGGTCTTGTTCTGGAGGAACCTGTCCTCAAGCAACTGCACGGTCACATCCAATTCAGCCAGCGTGGCTTCCAACATCTCAGGAGATACTGGCTCACCCAGGAAAATAGGGAACATCACCTGGGAGGTGGGGAGGCAAGGTAGAGGGTTAGGGGTCAGCCCAGCCTCAGGGGCAGGAAGGCAAGTGGGCCTCCCCCGCCCCAGTTTGAGCTGCTTTCTGGTTCCATGCACCTTTCTCCTAAGGCTGGACTAGGCCTTCAGGGCAATTCCCAAAGGACCACCTCTCCCAAAAATATTCCTGCTTCCGTGTTCTCTGATGGCTGAGCCTCAGGGGCATCTGACAGAAGGACTCAAACCCCTTTGAGAATGACTGGGGGGGGGGGGACTTGAACCATGAATTTTATACTTTGGAAGTATAAATCTAGCCTAGGGACAGTCTATGTTATAACCTCTTTCCCCCTGGACGTAAAGTCCGTACCTCTTACTGTATAATTAGGAAGATGAGCTTGTAAGGTTTCCACTCTGCCACTTACAAAGCGTGCGACCTAAAGCAAAATACCCAAACCCCCTGAGCCTCAATTTCCTCACCTATAATATAGGAATGATGGTACAGGGCGCCTGGGTGGCTCCGTCGGTTGAGCGACTGCCTTCGGCTCAGGTCATGATCCTGGAGTCCCGGGATCGAGTCCCACGTCGGGCTCCCTGCTCCGCGGGGAGCCTGCTTCTCCCTCTGATCCTCTCCCCTCCCATGTGCTCTGTCTCTCATTCTCTCTCAAATAAATAAATAAAATCTTTAAAAAAAAAAAAAGGAATAGTGGTACATGACTCCTCCTGTAAATGGAAAAGTGGGGCCCAGAGAGAGAGGGACAGTCAGTTGCCCGAGACGGCAGAGCCAAGAGTAGAAGGGACATTGTCTGGCAACGAGCTACCAGGAACTAAGGAGGAGGGCCAGGAAAGAGCGGTGTCCGGGATTCCGGGAGGAAGGTGTTTTAGGGGGAAGCCATCAACAGCCTCATGGGTTGGCAGAGCTGTTGGGAGACACAGTGGATGGGGAGCGAGGGGGGAATGCTTCATGCTGTGTTTGGTAACGTTGCTTGGGGGAGCCTGGGATTTAGGTAAACAGGACGAGATGGTACCCGAGCCCTGGCTTTGGGCTTCAGTTTCCTCCTCCATCCAAGGTAGACAGAATCAGCAGTCGCCCACTGGCACCCTGGAGGCCAGCCCTAAGCTTATGACATTGCTTTGGCTATAGAGGGCTTTTTTTTTTTTTAAGATTTTATTTATTTATTTGACAGAGAGAGACACAGCGAGAGAGGGAACACAAGCAGGGAGAGAGGGAGAGGGAAAAGCAGGCTTCCTGCCGGGCAGGGAGCCCGATGCGGGGCTCGATCCCAGGACCCTGGGATCATGACCTGAGCCGAAGGCAGACGCCTTAACAACTGAGTCACCCAGGCGCCCCCTGGCTATAGAGTTTTTTAAAAATATGGATCAGGGGCGCCTGGGTGGCTCAGTCAGTTAAATGTCCAGCTCTTGATTTCAGCTCAGGTCATGATCTCAGGATCATGGGACTGAGCCCCACGTTGGGCTCCATGCTAGGCATGGAGCCTGCTTAAGATTCTCTATCTCTCTGTCCCTCCCCTCCCCACTCTCTCTCTCTAAAATAATAATAATAATAAAAATAAAAATATAGATCAGTTGCTGACATTTAAAAATGGGGGCATTTCATACAGGAGTCCAGATTTCCGGCTTCTTTTTCTTTTTTTAAGATTTTATTTATTTATTTGAGAGAGAGAGACAGAGAGCAAGCACAAGTGGGTGGAGGCGCAGAGGGAGAGAGAGTAGACTCCCTGCTGTGCAGGGAGCCCAACGTG